TCCTCCTCCTCCTCTCCATCTTTGCCGGGCTCGCTCGAGGTAGGTGCTGAAGGCGAAAGAGGTACCTCGGGGCGTCGAAGCCAAGGAAGCCACCTCGCCAAGGAGCTGGGCGCTCCCGGGGTCGACACAGTGGCGGACTAGAAACGGCAAGGAAGCGGGGCAGAAGAGATCCTCCTCCTCCGCCTCCATGACGGACCACATGGTGTCACTGCTACACGGGGTGAGTTGATATGCGGGACGAGATATCGATTGCGTGAGTAACAATGGCGCACAATTGTGGAGTGGTCGAGATATCGATTGTGTGGGTAAGCAAAGGCGCAATGCTACGCGTACGCGAGATGTCGATTGCGAGTGCAAGCGAGGCACAAGGTTACGAGTGAGGCGAGGTATCGATTGCGCGAGTTAGCCAGGCACAAAGTTACCCATCGGCGAGATACTTGTCTCAGGACCTAATCGGTCGCCTGTTTCGCTTTTCCCGTGTGGTCCCCTCCTGCTCCTACCTACCCTGTGGTGACAGGTTTGGTGGGATCGAGTGGTGGCCGATGGGGCTCAGATCCTGGCCACCCAGCGGAGCGCGCGAGCCGTGGCTGCTCTTACCTTGGCGGGGACCGCGCGGTGGTGCTTGGTGGACTGCGAGAGCATGTCAATCGTCGAGGACGCCAGCGATCGGATGCGGGTGAGCAGTGCGCTGGGTGGGGGACGGTCGGTACCCGCCAACAAGCTACCCGATAGTTATCTAGACAGCTATTTGGAGAGAAGGAATCACGCCAGAGGCAGCAAAAGGACGGGTTTGTCTGTCTTGACATGGCAGGCATGGATTGGCCGCGAGAAAGAAGATAATTTTCTCGAAGAGGTAAACAAACTCCCGCCGCTCGCCCACCCGTTGCCTGTCCCTCTTGTCTCTCCAACAGTGCCTAGCGGCATTTCTACGGGTGCCCGCGGCGGTGCCATTGGTAGATGTTGCCGAGAGCTTGTTCTTCAGGAGCAGGCCGAGGCACATCGCTCCGCTTTACCCTCGAGCTCCGGGCGCAGCGGATAACAGCTTGAGCTTGACCGAGGGCGACGATAGCTCAGGCTGTTCCCTGCGTCACAGGCGACGATCGTCGAGAGGGGCCAACACCAGGCGGGGTGGCGGGATGTGTGTGAAGAAGAGGGGCTCGGGAAGAGAGGGACGACCATCAGAAGAAGGGAAGCGGTTGTCGACCATGGAGCAGGTCGGTGATGGGGGGAGGGGATGGGGGGCGCTGCCGATTGATGGAGGGAGGAGCCAGGGAACCTCACACGCGAAATCCAGAGGAATAGGAGGACGAAGAGAAGGGTCTCCGGAGAATGTTGAGCGCGGGCATGGCGGTGGGGGGATTAGAAGAGGTGAAGACGATCGGGGCGGGGCGGCTTCTGGAAGACAATTTTCGCGTGGAGGTATCACCTACGTGCCAAGTAGGCTGAGGCTCAGAAGGGCTAGGGGGGAAACCGGGCCGATGCAAGTTGACCAGAAATGACGGAAGATGTTCGTGCTGCGCTGCTGTGTTTCGTCGCTTTTTTCGTTTCCCGAGCAACAGGCAGTGATGCGTCTTGGTTAGGTGTTTCCTGCTTGCTGTCGCTGACGGATAGACGGTGATAAGATCGGGCTTTGAATGTACACACGGCTGCTAGCGTTAACGGGTCTCTAGCGTATGTACGCGTTCGTTCAATGAGTTTTGTGCCGAAACCCAAGATCCTTCTAGTGTTGGGTGGCTGCGCGCTTCCCGTGGTCTACAACCCAAATGACTGGTTCTCTCTCGGCCCTACATCGACTCTCTCGAAATTTCCGATCGTTTCGATTTCATGTAGAAGTACGACACAGGCCGCCCGAAAACTGACGTTCTGGAATTTTGTTCCGATACCTCTCACAAACAGTAAGCAAGCAACCCCTGGCAACAGCTATGCGTTGACAGCATGCACCCATGCAAACCTCCTGTGTACCTATGTATCTATTTCGGCCGGCGCCCAGTCATACGAACGCACTCCCCTACCGATTACGATAACAACCGTTGTCTGTATACCAACCTAAATACCACATTACGAGCGGCATCGGGTCCGCTACAAGAAGGCGCGACAATGGTGAGCTGCTGGCTGCGGACTCGCCCACAGTTCACATGTGCGTGTTAACACTACCACAAATACAATTTAGCAAACCCAGACCAACCTCGCGGAGACTCCACCTCTACGTTGGCTCGCACTTCAGGCCAACAAGCCGCCGAGAGCCGTTGCGCTACATACTTCCCATCTCCACTCGACAGAGCAGACTCCTCCCCGCCACCGGCTAGACTGTCATCATGGCATGTATGTACCCGAAATCGCAGTCAGCAAGTGCAACCGCGCCACGGTGCGTGCACACCAAAGCAACAAAGACGGGCCTGACCGATACACAGGTACACTTGTCGCAACCAACAGTACTCGACATTTTTGGTCTCTCCCGTTAGAGCCTCTTCTTCCCCCAACCAAGAAGGCGAGCGTTGCACGGAAACCATCAACAGCTCTCTACACTCAAGCGGAGGCTGCGCGAAAACACGAATACTTCCATCGGGACGACATGGCGTCATTCTTATGCCTAGAACGGTTGTGACAGCACTATCATAAGACAAGACGAAGCCTAAGGCACACCCGCTGGCTGAAACGATTGTGGGCAACACATCTGCTGTCCCCGAAAAAGCGGTTCTGTACTCTCACATGCATGCATGACAGGACAGGGAAACAGAAAATAACCCGAAAATATTTGCGTTCGACTCTTTTCTCGCGCTACTTCATAGTGAATGCAAGCAACGACACAGCACGGACACCATATTTGCGGTTTCAGGGTAAAGATTCAAGGGAGGGAAACAACCTTGACTACAATATCGGTGGCGGCGACTCGGGCGCGTGGAACCAGGGCGAATTGATGTAAATCTCCCAGAGCACCAGGGTGCAGATGCTGAACCAGGTGGCCGTCTTGAGCCCCCGCACGATCGGGCCTTCCTCGAAGCGCTCCGCCGCGTTCTTTTGCCGCCTCTCCTCCTCCCGGTCCACGATGGGGGTCAGCTTGGACTCGAATCCAGCAAGGCGGCTGGCGGGAACGGCGTCGTCGTCGTCACCGTCGCCGGCACCGACCACGAGCCCCACCGCGCTTTTCTTCTCGCGCTGTTCGAGGGTGGATTCAGCCCTTCTAGAGGGCTTGAACTCTGAGATATCGGGGAGTGGGACCTGCGGGGAAACGAGTTAAGTTTTTCCGTATGACGGAGGTGTCCACGCAAGGGCGTGATGCGGGCGGGGATGATTTTCCAACAATGCACGTGGCGACTATGGCAAGCAGAGCGGTACAATGGTCCGCCACAACAGCGCGAAAATTGGTGTAATTTTGGTGCTCCATGGATGCTGCTTTGTCCAGCTGAGTCGCACTATTGCACTGGGTGTGCGCTCGCACCGGACTGGAGCAAACAGATCATGAAGGGAGCCAACTCAAACTCTTCATGTAACGCACGTATAGGACGTTGTGTTGCCACGCAAGGTAACTCATGGTCGGACGCCAACAAATCTTCGTCCTAGGCACATTGGGTTCGAGGGAGGTGAACAGCGATGTCTGTGTTTATGAACAATATCCCCATGCTTGGCCACTGTACACGGAAATGTGCTACACACACTCTTCACCGTGTACAGCAGCGAAGAGGAGAGAGCGGGCGCCGGTGCTGTCTACTTCAAACTAGTATTGCTTCGAAATACCCTTGTGCGTTGCTCACGTTGGACTTGGTCATCCCGGTGTTGGCGGGCATACCCGACCAATCGTCTGTAAACAGTGCCTCGACGCTCCTGTCTCCCTCCAAGACGTCCCCGAGCTCGCCCACGCCGCCCTCAGCACCAGCACCAGCACCGCTGTCTGCGGCGGGCCTTTTCGGCGGTATCGCAGCTGCCGGGGATGCCGGCGGTGCGGTTGGAGTGGTGCCCTTTCTTACTTTCCGTCTTTTGCGCTTCTTGCCCGCTGCTGCCATCATCATCAGCGGCGGAGATTCGTGTCGAAGCCGTCGAGAGCTGCGGTGTAAGAGGTGCCGATGGCTGCTGCCGCTGCTCCTGCTGTAGATGGCGGCACTTGAACAAACATCATGTGTCCCCGAGGTTACGCCGCCGGCAGCTAGGTTGTTGATCGGTGCCACGAAGCCGTGCGTGCCCTCAAGGAGGCACGTGGCAACGCTTGCGAGTGCGAGAAGGCTTGCGGAGGGCTTCATCGCTATCCGGGGTCTGGCTCTACGTTGTTGCTTGTGTAGCCAGCGGGCGCATCGGTCGGCGCACAGCTTGAGCATCTGCGCTGACGGGGCCCGAAAGGCTGGAATGGAGTCGCATAGGGGGGGGAGGGGGGCTCGTGTTGGCGGCTTACGTTGTAGGAGAGGCAGAGAGGCACATTGCATTGCTACTGCTCTACCTGTTCTGTGGACACCCTGTTGGGAGAGAGCACGCTCTACTGCGGCTTGCTCGACGGGACGAGGCAATGAGCAGGAAGCGAGTTTCCTTCGAACCGAGATGTCTCCTGCTGATGCTGCTGCCCTCGCTGCTCCTGCTGCCCGATCGAAATCCCAGTGCATTTCATCATGCACGCGTCCCGTTAGACCGCTGCCTGAAAGGCTCCACAGCAAGGCCAGCACCACCTCCGACATGGACACCTCTCGCACGGCGGATAGGGCCTCTGTTGAAGGAGTCGGAAGGGGCACGAGATGCCACGGGCAACGACGACAAGGCCGTGCCAGGAGATGACGGCGGTGCGGGGGGAGAGGGAATTGCACCAGCAGCACCCCCGCCAGCAGCAACCGCCGGCACCACGGCAGCAGTGGTGGAGGGCGAGGCGACGAACCCTGCAGAAGGAGAGCAGCAGGAAGAAGGCGGTGAGCGCAAGAGAGAATGTGATGAGTGTAAGCCATTTTTAAATTTTCGGGAAGTAATATTTTCCATACACAGCGGGCCAAGGGGGTGTGGTATCCTGTGTAACCAATGTACTCAAGGTGCCTCGTGTCAACCGCAGGCTGTGAAATGAACGATGAAAAGGTCTGCGTGAGAATGCTAGATGCGCCTGTTCCTATGGACAAGTACACCTGCGATAGCACGCGTACCCAGATAAAGCATAGAGCTGGGATCGGGCACAGCCGTCCGCACACGTAGCCATTTGGCCACCCTGGCAGGGTGGGGGAAAACCCACCCTGCCAGCGTACCCCACCTTGTGAACGGCAGGAAGGTGTACCAAAACGCTTACGGATAAGAACAGACCCCCAAAGTGGCAGCTGCAAGATAAGAACTCATGAAGGTGGTGAGGGGTGACTCACGGGGTGTGAACCCACCCACCGGCAGTTTCAGATCAGCGACGAGGAGGGGGATCTCCGTTTAAAATAATACTGNGTGCGGAGGGGGGGGGGGGGGGGGGGGCGTACTCTTATGTTTTGCATATCTTAGTGGTTAGACAATGTACCACGTGTCCTCGAGAGGACGGAGTATCGTTCCCACAGGACAAAAGAACGATGGCCAATCGCTCCCTCCTGCTTTACCAAGAAAGGTGTCTCAAAAACTTTTCCCTAGCCTATCCTCCTATCGAGATCACTTCCCGCCTCTTAACCCACCACGTTCTATGCAAGTACAGCTACCGTCTTCTCTCCTACCTGGTATGCCATGCCTCAAACATATCCCTGTATCTTCCTTTTACTTTTCCCGAGGCTCAGCAACGTAAAATCTTGTCTCCTTGTCCAACAGACATTCCGCAACTACATGAACCGTTGTTCGCACTCGGAGCCGCTTTCACGTTTTACCTTGGTCGGTGCGGAGTGGGGGGGGGG